CAGTGACGAGTCAGACGGCGGCAGTCATCGCAAGGGACGATTGGGACATCCCCGACGCGAGCTCGGCACGAGATCCGTCTTCGTCGTGGTCATCCTGCACGTGGTGCCGAGGGGCTGCTGCTGCTGCTGGGAGCGCGTCGCGTGCAGGTGCCCGCGTGAGCTCGCCCGGGGGGAGTTGTCGGCACGACGACCCGAGGCGCAGCCCGAGCCGAGCGGTGACAATGGGTCTCCTTGCGTCGCGAGTGGCGTCGCTGCTGGGCGGAATGTTCAGCAAGCGCGCGTGCTGCTGCTGGGTTTGGACGCGGCCGGGAAAACCAGCATCCTGTACAAGCTCAAGCTCGACGAATCCGTGGTGACCATCCCGACCATCGGCTTCAACGTGGAGACCGTGCAGCCCATCAGGAACGTCACCTTCACCGTGTGGGACGTGGGCGGCCAGCAGAAGATCCGCGCTCTCTGGAGGCACTACTTCCAGAACACGGACGGGCTCCTCTTCGTGCTGGACAGCGCGGACCGGGAGCGCTTCCCGGAGGCTCCCGCGGAGCTGGACGCCATCCTGGACAGCCCCGAGATGACGCGGGTGCCCTTCGTGCTCCTCGCCAACAAGCAGGACCTCCCGCGGGCAGCGGCCACCGCGGAGGTGGCGGAGGCGATGAAGGCGGTGAAGACGCGGCACGGGCGCGAGTGGCTGGTGCAGGGCTGCTGCGCCCGCACCGGAGAGGGCCTCCTGGAGGGCGTGGGGCAGCTCTCCCGCTTCATCAGCAACTCCAGAGCCTCCTCGGGGACAAAGTGAGCTCGGCTCGGCAGCAGCAGCAGCGGCAGCAGCGGCGGCGGTGTCACTCCAAGGCGGCGTCTCTCGTGCACGTGGGGGGGGGGGGGGGGGGCTTCGAGTTGTGTCCACTGGTCACGAATTCACTCGAGTGAACGCCGTCATTCAAACAAACAGCTCGCTGTGTGCCTCTGCATGTGTGGATGTCTCTTGGTGCGCTGTTGCTCTGGTTGTCCCTCGGGGCTGCCCAGAAGTATATCTTTCCCTGTGTGTCTTCTCTGTGTATGTACCTCGTGTCTGTTCACGAGTCCCTGTCCTCTGTTTTCACGTTGGCATGTTCAGCCCAGATGATGAACACGAGAGATTTAGCAGTCTTTTGAAATACGTGGTCAACCAGGTGAGTGTCTAACTGTGTTGTTGGCCGACTGGTTTGCATCACGTGATGGTTCCAAGGTCTGTTGAGTTTCTCGTCTCCCATCTTCTTGTTGCATTTGCTTATGTGTAGTTTGCCGTTCTCTGTGTGCCATGTACGTGGTGTCCCCCTGTGTGTTCCCTCGCTATATGTTTCACCCCATTTCCACCTGATGATGAGCGCTTGTGTTGCGTTCAAAACGTCGTGATTCATTTTATTTTTTTTAATTTACATTTTATTTTATTTCTACATACGTGTCTTTACCGGAAAAAAACCAATGCGTGAAACAGCTTGTTGTGAAAGACTCAATGCAGAGATCGCTGGGTTTGGTCTTCCACGAAGCTGCTCACGGTCCACCCTCAACCGCATCCACTGCACAAACCACGGCAGTAGATGCGGACACCCTGATGCACAAATGTTAAATTAGAAACTCTCCAGGAGCCTGCGACTGTGGCCATCCAGAACAGACCGTGCAACGTGTAACGACGCAATGCCCGGTCCACAACACGACGGAGACGTCGCAGCGATACACTCACTACCACTGCTTCTTCTCACGCGGTGATCTGGGCTTGCCCACCTGGATTTGACTTCATAGTCGTCTGCTGTGCACCTGCATCAGCAGCCGCACGAACGAAGTAGCAGCAGCAGAAAGAGAACGCGGTCGCGTCCACGTGCACGCGCCCCGCGACTGCGCGTGCCTCTCGCTGCGAGGGAACATCCGCATCGTCTTCAACTGCGGACTGGAGTTTCACATTCGACGGCGGCTGTCGCTCTGTGATTTCCACACTGGGGGGCAAACGCCTCCCCCCGAGTTGATTCCGTTCCGCGCTTTCCTTGCAGCCGTCGCGTCGCGGCCTCCGGATGCTTTGGGTTCATCTCGTCATCTCGACGGGTCATCTTTGACCGCTCGTGGTTTAGATATAAATATGTGAATGGCATCTGTAAATTAAAAGGGGCGCAATCTGTGCAAGTTCTTTTCATTGAAGGCACTTTAATGGCTCGTCTCATTTTCAGAAATTCTTTTATAGACCAAACAACATTGTATAATCTTAATTTTAAGTTTTCGTGACTGCAGGAATCCATACTCTTTGGTTCTTTCGGTAAAGTCACGTAGGTAGAAATAAAATACAATTTTAAATTAAATAAATTTGTATTTCTACCTACGTGACTTTACCGAAAGAACCAAAACATTGTATAACATCTGTAGATAATTGTAGCATTTGTCGTTCCCGTCTTTCATACAAATGAGATTGTTTGACCATAATGGTTAAATTCATCAACGTAATATTGATTAAAGCTTTCGTGACTGCAGGGATTCATCTTCTTGGTTCTTTCGGTAAAGTCACGTAGAAGGGAAGTAATAAAATAATCAAATAAACATAATAAAATTATTCTCACGACGTTTCGGCCACAACGCAAGCAGCCGTCCTCAGGTGAAAACCAGGTCCGTCGAGGCGACAGAGTCTGAATGAACAGCACACGAGCTTGGAGCCTATATATAAGCTGGGCGCCTTGACAAAGGAATTTGCATATCAAGAGGAATTTAGCATATTTATGGGAAATGCAGGAATGTGATTAGTTACTACATATGCATGTGCATTATGCAGGATTAACAGCATCAAAGGGAGCTGCAGTTGCTGCTGCAGCTCTTCCTCTTGATATGCAAATTCCTTTGTCCAGGCGCCCAGCTTATATATATGCTCCAAGCTCGTGTGCTGTTTCATTCAGACTCTGTCGCCTCGACGGACCTGGTTTTTCACCTGGAGGACGGCTGCTTGCGTTGTGGCGAAACGTCGTGAGAATAATTTATTAGTTTAATTTTTATTATTTTATTACTTCCCTTCTACGTGACTTTACCGAAAGAACCAAGAAGATTCATCAACGTACTCAATTTTGGTACCGTTTGTGTTCACATGTTTCTCGTCAACTGTCGTCAATTTGTTCCTAGCTTTGCACTGCTCGATAAAATCTTTGATAAAATGTAAAATCTACTTTTGTTATATGAAAACCAGGACAATGTAATCAGCGCAATGTAAATGTGTAAATTGTTTAGGGTTGATATTCTCTCTGAATTCGTTACCACGATGGTGATGCGGCGTTACCTTCACTGCTCGTGTTATTCAGTCACAGATTATTTACATTCCTCGTTGTTTAAGAATCGCTAACTACGGATGGTGTATACAGGACATATCATCGAATGCCTTGTGGTATAAATCTATGACAGCTTGATCAATGTATTTGCCGTACGCATTGTAATTAGTTATTTGATTGAAGGTGGCCTGATGTTGATGATTTCATGAATTGTTTGTTTAGTCGGTTTGTTGTCTAATATATCAGATTTTCATTGAATAATGTTGATAAATATGTTGTAGATGCACGAACCGAGGCTGATAGTCGAATGATTATATTCTTAAGATCCAATCGCCACGTTTGTGCATAAAATAGTTTGGGATCAGACAGTGTCGTTACCGTTAGATGTTCTCGGATTGTGCGACCTAATTTACATCTTGCTTCAAGCAGTTCCTTCTGACTCGAGTTTAATATTGTTGCCCGAGTTTTCATCTTCGGACGATTGCACGATTTAACGTGCCTATTAACGATGTAAAAGTATCCCTAGACGCAGCTGATGATACAACTACTGGCTCCACAGAAGCAAATGAAACGTGTTACTGCATTTTAAAGCCTTAACATTCACCACTTATCATTTAATTTTTCATTTCTTTGGTATAGCCCTGTGAGCCATGCGGCTCTTAAGTCGGGTGCAACCGCAACAAACAAAATATGAACAGAGAAAGAAACATCCTCGATAAACCAGCAAATCTTCCAAAAAAACGTATTACAACACTGTGGGCACAAATCACAGTGTGATGCAAGTCAAACAACAAACAACCATAAGACAATTTAGATTAACCATATGTTTCTAAATCACCAAAATAAAGCTATAAAAACAATGTAACAGTAACCATAGGAACTGTGATTCTTAATTTAACAATAAACGATATACATAACATGTACGACCGAACTTGTAGCCATAGCTGGCAGCATGACACTCCTTGTGTATGATGTGTGAGTCAGCATATGATGAGTTAGTGTATGATGTGTGAGTGAGTCAGTGAGAGTGTGAGTGAGTGTATGATGAGTGAGTCAACGTATGATGAGTGAGTGTATGATGAGTGAATTGTGTATGATGAGTGAATGGGTCAGTGGTTGTGTGAGTGAGTGTAAGATGTATGACTGAGTCAGTGTATGTTGAGTGACTGAGTCAGTGTAAGATGAGTGAGTGAGTCAGTGAGAGTGTGAGTGAGTGTATAATGAGTGAGTCAACGTATGATGAGTGAGTGTATGATGAGTGAATTGTGTATGATCAGTGAATGGGTCAGTGGTTGTGTGAGTGTAAGATGTATGACTGAGTCAGTGTATGTTGTGTGAGTGAGGCAGTGTAAGATGAGTCAGTGTATCACAGCCTCCTTCCCGCCATCACGGCCTCCTCTCCTCGGCTCTGTCGGCTCCCTCGGCTCCATCAGCACCTCCAGCCTGCGACTGCCGAAGATATGGGGATGACGAACCAGGAGCCGTCCTGCAAACCTCAAGGATCAGAGCCATCATTTTTATGGCGTCATCGTGTCGTGAGCTCCGTCAAGCGTCTTGAGTGAAGGCGCTGTCCATTTCATTCGTTCATCGCGCAGGGCTCGGGGAAAGGACCTCTTGCGACTCGCAGCGTTCCCATGAACTGCTTCTTGCCGCCCGAACACCGCTGTTCATTAGATGCTTAGAAACGTGATGTCTTTGTATTATTACACGCTTTTATTTAACTCACTCTGTTGTTGTTGTCGTATCCTAAAATCTTGTAACTGAATTTTAACCCACTTCCCAATGTGGTATGGACTGCAAAACTTGGTATATTTATGTCATACTGATGACAATACTATATTCTATCATAAAAAAACATAAAAAATATATATTTGTAAACATAATTTTGTATATGTTATGTTTCGGCTTGGGTCTCATTGTCCACGCTCAACTGATGTTGGCTGTAAATCAGCACGGCCCCTGACGTGATGGCAAGCTTCGGGGCCACGTCCTGGAGTCGTGGAGTTCTGCCATTACGAATACGGTACATTTCATTAAAGCGTGTTTTTAAAAAAGTACTTTTAAATATTACTTATTACCTCAACGGTTAGAAATGGGTGGAGCAGTGGGCGTAGTGGTTAGCGCACTGTTGTCTGAACCTGGCCACATGAGTTGGATTCCTGGGCACGACTAACATGACCAGCGTGGTGAAGTATGATCACAACCTTTAATGACTGATAGGGAATGTGGTGGTCTTCAGCCGGCAGTCCCGCGAGACGAAACTTTTTTACTTTTCTAACTTATTACATAACATGTATTTGATTAAGTTATGTTTATTCATTTCAATGGCCAGTAATAAGAGGCACACGTTATTACCAAGTGTGAATCATTATCCAATTTAGCTCATAGCTGCTCACCAATGATATTCTAAAGTTGACAATGTTTATTAAAAAAGTCTGAAGTGTTCAAAAATAATATCAGTCTATTAACACTTCAGACTGTTTGATTAAACAGTCTACTTGTTTTTTTCTTCATTCACCACTTGAATTTAAAACGGGGACACGCAGTGTGGTGTCAGGGAGTGAGATCACTTCCCAGGTCACTCGAGCGAACGAGGGGCCGTCCATAAATGACGTCACGCGATTTTGGACGATTTTTGACCCCCACCCCCCCCTCGTCACGCGGCGTCACGAAAAGTCAGACCCCCCCCCCCCTTAAATATGACGTCAAAAAGCACTGCCCCCCCCCCCCCCCCAAAATAAAACACGCTTCAAATCGCTTTAAAGTTTAGAGAGTTACGTGTTTAGAGGTTGTTGGATGTTGAATGGTTTAGATGGTTAGTAGTTGAGGTTATAAGGGTATGTGTTTAGGGGTTTAGAGGTATCGGGGTTTCAAGGGTTAGTGATTTACAGTGTTAGGTGTTTAGTGGCTTGAGAGTTGAGGGTTTAACACCGAGACTTTCACAACTAATATTGTCCATAATAAAGTTTTTTTTGGGTTAGTCTCCAACACTAAATGGCACTTTTTGTTGATGTGACAAATTTTACTAATTGGCTGTTTCGGGTGGTGGTTGGTTTAACGACACGTTTATATTTACATAATCTAACAAAAAAAAACCTTTATGGGTTTAGAGGGTTCCGGGTGTAGTGGATTATGTGTTTAGAGGGTTAGCATTTTAGGGGCATAGGTGTTTTAAGGGTTAGGCGTCTAGAGGGTTCGTTCTTTAGAGGGTAGAGGTTTAAATGTGTTGGGATTAGGTTAGAAGATGAATCCCTGCAGTCACGAAAGCTTTAAATCGAAAATTAGGTTACAGATTTAGGGTTTTAGAATGTTAGGGTTTTGAGGGTTAGGGTTTTAGAGGTTGAGGATTTAGGAGGTTATGAGTTCAGAGGGTTAGGGGTCTAGAGGGTTAGTTCTTTAGAGGGTTGTGGTTTAGATTGGTTGGTATTTAGAATGTTAGGGATTTAGGGTTTGAGAAGGTTAGGGTTTCAAGGTTTAGAGGGTTAGGGATTCAGAGGGTTTGGTTTTTAATGGCTTAGACGGTTAGGGTTAAAAGAATAAGGGGTTTAGAGAGTGAGGGTTTTGGTGGGTTAGGGTTTTAAGGGTAAAGGGGTTGAGGGTTAGGGGTATAGGAATTTAGAGGGTTAGGGGTTGAGATGGTTAGAGTTTTGGGGGTTTAGAGGTTAAGCTTTTAGAGGGCGAGGGGTTTAAAGATTAGGGTTGTAAGAGTAAAGGGGTTGAGAGGGTTAGCAGTTTAGATGGTTATGGATTTAGATAGTTAGGGGTTTAGAAGTTTAGAGGGTTTTAATTGTTCGATGTTTAGTGGTTAAGGTCTCTGTGCGAGTCCAACATGTTTGTATGAGTCTATGGTAAGATAAAAAGAGTTCAGTTTAATTTGTATATTTCGAAACAATTTGTTTACCTTTCCTGTGATGTTTTTGTATTGTATTTTTGTTGTTATTTTCTGACCCACCCGATTGGACGTCTGTGAAAACAGATCGTTATAGCTTATCAGATTCCTCCAGTATAAATAAATATTCAAATTCAAATTCTATTGACCTCTGTGCGAATCTATGGATTTCTGTGTGAGTTTTTGGGCCTTTGAGAATATGGATCTCTGTGTGAGGCTCTGGGTCTCTGTGCATGTCTATCGGTCTCTGTATGGGGTCGCTGTGTGAGTCTGAGTGTCTGTAGGAATGTATGGGTCTCTGTTGGAGTCTATGGGTTTCTGGGTATGGTTGTTTGTGCGAGTCTTACATGCACAAATTTAACTTAAAATGGCCATTGAGGGTTGCGGAATCCAAGTTGAATATTAAGTTCCCTGCAGTGCAAGCCAGCTCTCTAGTCGTGTCATCAAACAGCCCCTTTAATTCTTTATAATAATAAAATAGACTTAGTCCAGGAAATCCACACTGAGTCACAGTCGGGTCCTGAATTGTTTTTTTACATTTTCGACGAATGAATGATGAGTTCTTACACAAGTGGGGGAAACCGGAGCACCTGGAGAAAACCCGGGGGGCAGCACTTTAAACCGTACAGGCAAAGATGGCGATTATCCCACTTTCTGTACTGCCTTCTCCTGGCCAGCCAGCCAGGAGGAGGCACCTCGATGCCCACGGAAAGGGGGTTTCACAACATTCACTGTGTGATCCACTCACCCTTGCTGCCTTCCACTGCTGGATTACAGGCTTGCAACACCACCGCCTGGCGAATAATAGTAATAATTAAAAGTTTTATAGCGCGCACAAGAACGACTCAGAGGCATGATGAACCACAGCCGTGCAGGAAGGAAGCCACGTGGTGAGCCAGTACCAACAATTGTCCAAGCTCTGCGGTCCTCTATGGAGGCATTATGCGCTAATTAATGACGAGTGTTTATACCAGTGGGGGAAACCGGAGTACCCGGAGAAAACCCATGCGTGCGAGGGTGAAACACTCTATCCCTGTACAGGTGAAGATGGCGATTAGTCCACTTGCTCTACTGCCTTCTCCTGGCGAGTCAGGTTATGGCACCTCGACGCCCACGGGAAGGTGATTTGCCAACATCATTGTGCGGTGATTCACCAACCCTCGCTACCTTCCAGAGTGCTGGATTAGAGACGTGCACTACCAACACCAGGCGAATGATAACAATAATAATAACTTTCTACTTCTAACTTGATAACAATAGGCGAAAAATAACAACAGGCAAATGATAACGACAGGCGAATGAGAACAGTAATTATTATTTCCACTTAGAACTTGATAACAATAATTATTTCTACTTTTAACGAAATAACAATTATTTCTTCTTATAACGTGATTACAACAATAATAACTATTTCTACTTTTAACTTGACAACAGGCGAATGATAACCGGCAAATGATAAAAACAGGCAGCACATCTACGCCTCTACATAAGGAACGAAACAGGTGAATGTCTCCACAAATCTGGCTGTCGCCTGATGAAGCTAGTTGTAATTACTGGCGAAACGTCGTACTCAGATTGTAAATGTTGAGGCTTGACTCTCCAACACACCGTGTGCTGTACTAGTTACAAATTGGCATGTTCTGACAATCCTTACTAGTTGGCTGTGTCGGGTGGTGGTGGGTTTAAACGACACATTTAAATATTTACGCGATCTAACCCAAAAAAGAAACCTCTATTATGGATGATATTGGTCGCGAAAGTCTACGTGTTAAACAAACCCGAAGGAATCAGAGAAAAATCGACGTGACCACGAGAGAAGATGCAAACTCCAAATATAGACATCAGGGTTGGGGTCAAACCTACGAATTCCAATATACCAGTTTAACACGTCGGCTTTCGCGAGGGGGTTTGCATCTCGCTCTGTGGTGCCTCATTATCTGACTCACCCAACCACTAAACTACTAAAGCCACCCACACACTCACTCACCCACTCACTATGCCACCCACTCACCTTGCCACCCACACTCACTCACCCTCTCACAAACCCACTCACCCTGCCACCCACTCAACCGCTAACTCACTCGCTCAAGCACACACTCAGCCACTCAAGAGCTTACCTGTGCACCCACCTACACACCCACTCATTAACTCAACGACCCACCCACCAACCCACTCACTCACTCACTCTAGACTCCACTCACCCACCCACTCACCTATTCACTCCCCCACTCACACACCCACCCATCCACCCACCCACTCTCTAACTCACACACTCACCCACCAACCCAACCACACACTCAATCAATCACCCACCAACCACTCACCCACCCAATAAACGAAAACTGAACTATTTCTCATTGTACCAGCTAAGGCCCACAGAGCTATATAGATCTTTTTCAAAAGCGACCTTGTTACAAATTACAGGTAAACAAAGTGGCTTATCACATATACATTTATTGCAGCCAAATCCTCTGAATGCAAATTTATTCTCAATGCAAAAACCCAGAGGACCCGGAGAAAAATCCACGTGACCACAGGGAGAAGATGCAAACTCGAAATATGCAGGCGGCAGGGTCGGGATCAATTCCATGACCTCCTGTATACTATGCAAGGTAGTTAACATCTCACCACCATGGTGCCCCATTCTCTGACTCACTCACCCACCCACTCGCACACTAACTTCCCCACTCAACCTCCTACACTAACTTACTCACCCACCTACCAGCCACTCACCCAAACACCCACCCATTCACCTACTGACTCGCACCACTTACTCAAATACCCATACACTCACACAATGACCCAGCCACTGACTCGAACACCCACCAACTTACCCACCCAACCCCCATTCAACCACCCAACCACCAACCCACCCATTCACTCACTCACCCACTCGCCCACGAAACAAAAACTAAACTGTTTTTATTTTACCAGGTAAGGCCCACAGGGCTATATAGATCTTTTTCAAAAGCGACCTTGTTACAAATGACAGGTTAACTAAGTGGCTTATCACTTACACATGTGTGGTGGTCAAGGTTGACACCAAGGTTGACACAGGTCACACAGGTCACACAAGCTAGGGGAGAGGTACGTACCGGTCTGGACCGGCCCGGATTGACAGGGACGAGAGGTGGTTGGAACGGCTCTGAGGGGAGGGGGCTGGCGAGAGCCAGGGCCCGAGACACCCCCGCCCCTCAGAGAGAGGGGATATATAAGACGGCTCCCGGAGAGCGGAGGGGTCGATCGGAGGAGAAGCTGAAGGAGGAGAGCCGGAGATCCTGGACCCCCAAGCCTCAAGGATGCCGCCCCGCTGGAACTGAGTGGGCTGAGTAGCTGTAGGCTAGGGAAGAGAGTAGCTGAGTAGCTGTAGGCTAGGGAAGAGAGTAGCCGAGTAGCTGTAGGCTAGGGAAGAGAGTAGCTGAGTAGCTGTAGGCTAGGGAAGAGAGTAGCCGAGTAGCTGTAGGCTAGGGAAGAGAGCAGCTGAGTAGCTGTAGGCTAGGGAAGAGAGTAACAGAGTAGCTGGAGGCTAGGGAAGAGAGTAGCTGAGTAGCTGTAGGCTAGGGAAGAGAGTAGCTGAGTAGCTGTAGGCTAGGGAAGAGAGTAGCTGAGTAGCTGTAGGCTAGGGAAGAGAGTAGCTGAGTAGCTGTAGGCTAGGGAAGAGAGTAGCTAAGTAGCTGTAGGCTAGGGAAGAGAGTAGCTAAGTAGCTGTAGGCTAGGGAAGAGAGTAGCTGAGTAGCTGTAGGCTAGGGAAGAGAGTAACAGAGTAGCTGTAGGCTAGGGAAGAGAGTAGCTGAGTAGCTGTAGGCTAGGGAAGAGAGTAACAGAGTAGCTGTAGGCTAGGGAAGAGAGTAGCTGAGTAGCTGTAGGCTAGGGAAGAGAGTAGCTGAGTAGCTGTAGGCTAGGGAAGAGAGTAGCTGAGTAGCTGTAGGCTAGGGAAGAGAGTAGCTGAGTAGCTGTAGGCTAGGGAAGAGAGTAACAGAGTAGCTGGAGGCTAGGGAAGGAGAGAAATGAGAATATAGCCGGAGGCTGTACCTCCCTAGGTTGTGTGTGTGGGACTGTTTCCCCAGTGAGTCCTGAGGACTAGTGTTATCGGAATAAAAGCGTGTGGCCTCTACGAAGTGTCGGTCTCATTCAAGAATACTACACATGCATTGCAGCCAAATCCTCTGAATGCAAGTTTATTCTCAATGCAGAGGGAAAACTCCGTGGACCTGGAACAAAAATCCACACGACCACGAGGAGAACAAGCACGATCAAATATACTTGCGACAGGGTCGGGATCGAATCGACAACCTCCTGTATATTAGGTGAGGAAGTTACCATCTCACCACCGTGGCACCCCATTCTCCGACTCACTCACTCACTCAAACACCCACCCATTCACCTATTCACGCACACCACTTACTCAAATACCCACCCTCTCACTCAATAACCCATCCACTCACTCATGAACCCACTGAAGCACTCACCCATACAAAAACCCACTCACCCACTCACTCACCGACTCACTCACCCATGAAATCGCACACCCATCTTCTCAACCACTCAGCCAGCCACCCACTCAATCTCGTACCCACTAACTCTCTCACTTCCTCACCAACCTACCAACCTACCAACCCACCAGGGACGTGCGGTCAGGGGAGGCAGAGCCTCACCTGTCATACTCCAATGACAATAGTTTTTACGAAAATAAAAAAAAAAAAGAGAATAATAAAATAAAAATTAAGATTTTTCCACTGATCTGTGTTATAAATGTCATTTCTGTACGATTCCAATCATTTTTATAGTCAAAATTGCCAAATTTGCGGAGCTCCACTGCAAATACAGGAAGAGACGAGAGGCGAGGCAGCGACGAGCTCAGCCTCCCCTGATTGCGCAACCCCTCAGTAACTGGATGGAGCGCGGGCAATAAGCGCGTGCCTGCTACTATCTCAGTATGTCACCAATGTAATGTTTGTAGACCCCTTCATTTCATGTCCTCGCCTTCCATACTCCAGGTAACTTATTTCACGTATGTGTATTAAGATATTTAGGCTCGCTGGTCTCGTCATGAAACTGCAATGAAAAAGCACCAGGGGAGGCAGCCATCACATTTGCCTCACTGAGGAGGATGCGTCTAACACGCCCCCCTCCGTGAGGCCACGTCCCCCTGAGTGTGTGAATCTGGCTCTGACACAAGCCAGTGTCTCCCCAGCCATTGACCTCACCACACATCACTGCAAACCACCCACCCATCTCCTCACTCAACCACCCACCCAGTCGATCATCCACCCACTAACACTCACCCACCCAACAACTCACTAACCCACCCAGCTCTCACTCACCGAGCCAGTCAATCTCTAACCCACCAACTCACTTTTAAACTGACTCTCTCAACTACAACTCACCCAGTCACTAACCCACTCACTCAATTTATAACCCACCCACTACCCACATAACCTGCTACCCACACACTCACTCATCCACAAATCCACTCACCCCCTCACTCATCCATCCACTCACATACTCACCCAGCCACTCACCTACTCACCCAGTCACATACACATCCATTCACCATGCCACCCACTCAATTTCTAACCCACTCACTCGCCCAACCACTCCCTCAGCAACTCACCCACTAACCACGTAATTATTCACCCACCCACCCACCACTCAACCACCCAATAATTCAACCACCAAAACATTCAACCACCCACTAACTCAACCACCCACTACCACCCACTAACTCAACCACCGAGCAACTCACACTCACCCACTCACCCACTCACCCACCCACCCACGCACTCACCCGCCC